ATAAGCACAGATATCCCTCATTTTATGGCCTGCTTTAAAGACTGCTTGGACTTACAACCAAAGTGCACTATTCAGACTTATGACCTGCCACACAGATTTATGGCGTGATACACACACACACACACACACACACACACACACACACACACAGTTCTAACCTCTTGTCAACATCATCTTCTTCTACACTACACCGTGTTTATATGGTCCTGTAATCTTTGCTGAGTACTGTACAAAAGTTTTGTGTACTGCAGTTATGTGTTGCTACGTATTATAGTACGTGTGAGAGTACTGACATGCAGTAATAAAAACAAAGTCACGAACTCAGAGTTTTCTTTGACCATTTCTTTGTTCTGAATATTATAATGTACATACTATATACAACTCCTCATTTGGTTACCAATTCATTTACTTACCTAGTTGCAGGAACAGAACTCACTCTTAACAGGAATGCTTATACCTAAAATACCTACCAGCTACCTCAATTCACTCTGTGTAGTATCTTACAAGATTTTGTTCTGAGGTTCTTTAATATCTGTTGACAATTACATATAATTATGTAAGTATGTATTATACATTGTTTTATACATATATGTTAAATGTTATATATAAAATATACATAGTCATTCAACATCTCAAACATGTCTAAGTGTCCTGATTCAAAAACATCAACTAGTACGTGTAAAAGGAAAGCTTTAGATATTAACAAAAAGCAGGGCCAGCAAGACAGCTCAGCAGAATAAGCAGCTGCCTGGCAAACAGAAGATGCTGAGTTAGATCCCTGGTACAAAGGAAAAAAAAAAGATACTAACAAAAAGCTTAAAATAAAGCATTTTGAAAGAAATAAGAGAACATGTGCTATATCCTGAGCAATGAACATAAATGAATATACACTGCAGACCAACATCCAACATGTAAAAATAAAAGATACACCCCTGGTAAGACAATTTCAAGTGCTGCAAAGTCATTACCAAGAAGGTCTAAAGAAATCAAGAAATTAAAAAAATAGTTGAATACATAAAAAGACTAAACAGAACTACCTTTTCTTTGTTGGCAAAGAAAAAGCTCTATGTATATGTAATATAAGGATCTTAAAGATAAATCACAAAAATCATATAAATTTTTAATAGTTGCAGGGCTGAAAAAATGATCTGCTACAATTATTTCCTATTAGCAGGTTTTACTCCTTGCACAATGGAACCTTCCAGTCTCACTGCCCACCGCCAAGTTGTATTTCTTGAGATCTTACCCAAAGCTATTAATGGTATGTCTCAAATTCCATTATTGTCATTAAAAACCCATTTGGAACTCTCTCCTTTCTAGAAAGGTAGTTTTCTTCTCATCAGCTGCTTTTAATCTTTGACACTGAGGTTTTATCATTTTACCATGCTGGCCATATAGTATGGGTTTCCTAGCTTTATTTACCCTACCTGGAATTTACTGTCCTTCTTTTATCTACAGATGACTATGACTAGTCAATTCTGGAAAATTCTTAGCCATTATCTGGTAAACGCTCCTCTACCCAAGAGACAGCAAATATTTAGGAGACAGAGCCAAACTGCAACCTAAAACCCCTTAGTTATCACCAAGTGCCAACCCTGCAATTCAACCCCAATACTGAAGTTCTAGTTCAGAAAAAGCAACTCAGACCACAACATCCTCCTTCTTGAAAGACAAATGTGTGCCCTAGGTTCGCTACCACTGCTCTGGCACATTCTCTCTTCTCCACTGTCAGTAGAGCAATTAAACATAGAGATTTTTTGCTCTGTCCTCCTTACTAACATACTATCTCCTAAATTTTGAATACTTGGATACATATTTCATTAATTCTCTCATCACCTGTGTCTTATGCTGGTAGATTCCAGTATTAAATTTCTAGTCTTTGGAAGGAAAGAGTCAGAGACTAGAGAAATGTAAAATTAAAAATAAATTAGAAACATTAACATTTGATCTACAGTGATAAAGACTCCACATCCAAGTACTTGGCTTTCTGCAAGTCTCCTGACCAGCTCCAACAGCAGACCACAGGCAAGGGCTTAAGCACACAGATCTTGTTTCAGATCCGACATCCATAAATACTGGCTTGGAAGGGGGAATGAGGCAGGAAAGGAAAGGAAGGGTCATTAATTGAGTGAACACTGAGCAACTATAACTTCAGATAAGCTATGGAAGAAGTATGTTTGAAAAAGTACATGAGCATGCTCTGCTTGGGGGTCACTGGGCTCAGTGGTCCTGATGGCCTAGGACTCAAAAGAACTCTCTGATTGACTGTTTGCTCACAGGTCTGGCTTACTAAAGAAAAAGAGTAAAAGTGAGCCCAGGGAAGACACACAGCACAGTGTGAGTCTAGGAAAGTGACAAGTGAGGTGTTTCCGGTTGTACTCTCCCCTGGAGTCACAGGCAGCCACTGTCCTAGCACCTAGTGGGCCACAGTCCTCCTCAGAGTTCCATTACATGGCCTGGTGGCTGCCAGAACAACTCTCCTTCCCAGTCCCTTCTAACTGCTCCATTCAAAGGTTCACCGTTAAGTCGCAGTTACCATATAACTTGATCGAAGTTTCCCAGGCAAATAAACATACTCCAGTGTAACATTCAAAGCAGGCAGGACCCAAGCAACCTACAGGTCGTTGTCCCCCTTTACAGTGTCATAACAACTATTTTTAAAGTAATAGCACATTCACAGGCAGCCCAAGCCAATTCCTCTCTGCTCCATGTAGCCCACGCAAAACAAAGGCAGGAAACTCACAGCAGAAGTCACCGTCCAAAAACCAAGACCAGGCCTCTCTCTGGGCATGATTAAAATTCTTTACTATGCTGCAAATTATAGGTAAGCTATGAACATTCTTACCTTACTGAGTTTCACCACTACATTATGATGTTGATAAAGCAGAACTGGATGGAAATTTTTATGTTATCAGTATTACCAAACTCTGATTCACATTTGGAAAAAATCATTTGATATTTGAAACCAAACCAAGAGCCACAACTCAATCTTAGTCCACCTCATAATAGGCCATGTCTGTGCACACGCTGCTCAGGAAAATCTATCAACGTACAATGGGTAATTATATTCTTCTTGCATGACATACAAGTCTAATTTCTAAAAGTTTTAAATACAATTCTCTGAAAACTTACACAAAAGCTATTAAAGAAATTTCCATGTAAAAATTAAATCATTCTTTATGAAAAAAGGCAGCAAATATAATTTCCTAGAACTAGCTAAAAATCTGAAGACTCATTACTTACACACTAACTACCTGTACTTGTAAACTGTTCTGCATCATGTCACCTGGGCACCACACCTGCATCATGTCACCTGCACACCTTACCCATCTCTAGTGCAGTGTGCAAATATTCCTTAAGGCACAGGAGCCTCTACCAAGTTTCTTGGTTTAGATACAGAATGCCCTCTGCTGTGTACTTTACAGCATGTTCTCCAGTTCACAATGGCTCAATCTTGGGTAACACAGCAGCACACAATCTGAATTGCTCTCTTTTCCTGGCTTAGCCACATGCAGCACAAGGTTCCACTGTGCTGGGCAGTGACAGCAGGCTGCAGCTCCATCAGCCACACAGCCTCATGGGGAAATAGCAAGTGCACAAGTGCATGCAAAGCACTGGGCCGTGACGGTGGGAGGTAGGCATCTTTCACCTGCATTGTCTCCAACACAGAATCAGGTTACCAGGATGTAACCCCACCACAAGTTGAAGCTATCCAAACTGGTGTAGATGTAGAGAACACATATTTTAAAATCTTACTTTTTAGTACAGTACCTGTGTGAAGTACATTCAGCTCAGGGAGTAGGTGCGTGCATATAACACATCTTTTTTTAATCTTCTTCCTCTCCTTACCCATCTCCCTCCCTCTCTAAACTGCCTTTCCCTATTTTCATTAGCACTTTTTTTTTTACATGGTCTCATTATGCAGTTCAGGCTGGCCTTATACTCAAGGTGAGCCTTCTGCCTCAGCCTCCCAAGTGCTGGGCTTACGGGCATGTGCCACCATACCTGGCTCATTAGTATTTTTATCATCATTATGTCTAGCCCATGTTTACAACGGGTAATGCATACATTCATTGTGGGTATCTGGTACCCATACATGACCCATTTTAATTATTTTTATGATGCCTTCCTCTCACTTCCTGGTATCCTTGTATTTGCAAAAGACCTGCCTCCCTGTTTCCTTCTGTCATTCCTTTTTTTCCCTTCATATATTCATACTTTCCTCACTCAAATGAGAAATATCCTACAGCATTCAAGATTGTGTGTCTGATTTATTCGACTTAACATTGTCTTTTCCAGGCGTATCCATTTTCCTGGAAGCATCTCAAATTTATTCATTTGGCCAACAGAACTGCATTATCTACAGACAGCACAGTTTAACCCTAATTCAGAATTTTAAATGGGGTGTAATATTAAACAGAAGTAGCTAACAAAGTTTTTATAATGAGGGCATAAAACACATTAGACATTAGTTAAAATTCTCTACCTTAAAATCTTGGAAGAGAACATTTTTCTCTGCAAGAAACAATTATACTATTTTAAAATAAATGCCACAAGAAAGTAATTAAGCAATTTTAATCCATAAATAACACTATATCACTATAATGTAATGAATAAACATGAAAATGGTAATAGATTTACAAGTATAATTTCTGAAAGCTTTAAATATAAATCTTTGGAAACTTAGATATACAAAAGCTATTAAAGAAATGCCCATGTAAAAATTAACTGCATAAATACTAAATGTCTTACAAAGAATCCTAAACAAACACCCTGAAAACTTCCACTTTATGCTTAGCTACATTTCTCATTCCTTATTATACAACAGGAGATTCAGAACGTGCACTCTGGCTTTCAAATGAAATGCTACATCTCTTATTATTATTATTATTATATTATTAAAATACAGAACAGTAAAAAAAGAGTAACATTAGAAATGATAAAGAACTTTGAAGAAGATGATAGGAATTTGACAATGGTTGCTGTATTGCACAATGTCTTCAAATTAACTGCTGAACCGCTCCCTCTTGCTGAGATATCAAGCTATTCGTAGGGCTCTCCTGCCCTCCAGTGGTAGCTGCCATAATTCCTGACGTGCACCTTTCAGCACTGTGGAGAGAAGACACATCCCTCCCACACACACACACTGAAAGTATATTACACTGTACGGCAGCATCTAACTTGTCTTCCCCCACAGCTTCCGGCTCTGTCTGCACCCCTGTGTCATGTCTTACAATCTGCACAATGCAGCTGCTGGTTTTGTTTTCCAGTGCATGTGATAAATTGTCCTGGGTTTGTGGAAACTGATGTGCATTATTTTTTATTGAACACTGATAAAATTTCTCATTCAGCTTGTGAAATTTAGCATTGTTGTTAACAATCCTATCATCTGAAAGTTCCACCATCCTTTCTAGGTAAAAGTTATTACTTGTTTCTGTGGTTTTTGTGGATATCTTATTTGAGTCTTCAGTTTGTCGCAATATTTGGTCTTCATCATCAGATGGCTAAAAGAAATAATTTTGCTGTAAATAATCTTACATTTTTAAAAAAGCAACAACTCTAAAACATACATCCTTAAAAATCTACATTATAATGAACCACTAAATTTAGTAGAAATTTAAAGCAGATATGCCATTAAAGCCTTCAATCTACTACTCCTTCCAGTAGGTTATGGATTTTAAAATAATAAGAACAATAATAGCCTTTGTAATAAAAACCCAAAAGAGCTGAGAGAGAGAGAGAGAGAGAGAGAGAGAGAGAGAGAGATGAGGAACCTTGTCTCTTCTCAGTATCTGTAATCACAGCTGCATCCAGCTACTAAGCTTTCACAAAGAATGACAGGTAACAAACTTCAAGTTCTTAGAAAGAATGGATAGATATAAGATCTCTGAAGGTAACAATTAATACATGTCATTTGTATTATTTACTCATTCATCCATGAATTAAAAAATACGCGTTTACAGGCGTGTTCCATTACAGATATAGCATATCCTAAGATAACAAGAGTATCAGCTACCTGAAATCAAGAAAGACCAAACAGCAATAAATATCTCAACTGTTATGTACGAGACAAATATGACCTTTTAAAAGAGGACTCGATTTTAATCTGTTAAGGTGAATTTCTAGATTTTACTTCATGAAAATGTATGATTTATTAATGAAAATAGAACATATTTAATGGAAATGGTTTTGAAAATCTTATATTGATGAGTACTGGTTATCCAAGCTAAAAAATGGAGAAGGGGACAAAGCTACTATAAAGAAACCCAAATGGGGTACATGCCTTGGGTGGTCAGCAATGAAATGGCAAAAGCCCAGGAAATAGCATTAAAACTAAACCCAAAATAGAAAAAGCAATGTACACAATTATTTTCTAAATGGCATCTGAAGTACAAGTAAGTTGAAATGGTGCTGTCTTGCGAACACAAAGAACAGGCACACATGATGGAAGCAAGTACTCCTCCACACGAACATAGAAACACAACCAACAAAAGCATTGTGAAGGCCAAGTACAGACACTCTGAAAATAAAACCAAGTGGCCTGAGGCTGCAGGGACTTTGGAAATGTGCAACATCTTTAATCTGAACTCAAAGGATAAACCAGAAGCAAGACTGAGGAAACAATGCAAAAAACCCTGAAGGAGAAACGAGTTACAAACTAAAGAAAGTGAAAGACCAAAGTGTGTTGACAGGAGAGGGACAACAGAAGATCTGGGGTGTCAGCCAGGAGCAGAACACATGGCCCCAGCCACTGTAAAGCATCCAGAGGGAGTAACTGAGAACCCCCAGCTGAACACAGTGACCACGCCTGTGGGAGGTCCAGGGTCAAGGCCAGCCCAGGCTTCTGTGGGGGGCTCTGCCCAAAATAAAAGGCGCTGGGCTCAGTCACCAGAATAGGGTGGAAGGACATGAAAGCAGGGGTCCACCAAATATTTATACATAGGAGTAGGATGGCCCAATTTATGTTTTCAAAGAAAATTATATCTGAGACTAGAGGAAAAAATGAAACAAGAAAAGTAAAGAGATGTCCTACAAAACAAATCACAATAGTCTAAGAGTAATACAGGAGCTGAGAGAAGTAGATGCATTTGCAAGTTACTTTACAGATATAACTGAATGACAGATACAGTAACAGATGGTTTTGAGGGGGCAGATGAGATGAAGAAGAAATGACAAGGTTAATATTGTGCTACGATTTTGGTATGAATACTTGGATAAGTAGATGTGAGAAAGATCATAAAAACTGATTTGGGGGAAAAACAGTGTGTCTTCAGTTTGAACTATGAAGAGATGAAGATTTCTGTGAAAAAGCCTGAGATGCTAGGCCCAACTGGAAATTGGATGTTTAAGTAAGGATCAGGACCAAAGTCCTACTGCTAAGAACTGCCGTCACTCAGACAGGAAGTCCATGAAGTGTGTAACAGCACTACTAGCCTAGAGCACAGGCTAACAGAAAAGGTGATGTTTCAAACATAAACATTACAGTCACGTAGAAGGCAAGGCAGGGAAGAAGAGGGCAAAGGCATAAAGTAACATTCATACAGGTAGGCACAAAAAACAAAGCAGTGTTACCATAAATGCAGAGCGACAAAAATGTTCTTTAAAAACTGCAGTATCTTCTACTCACACTAGGAGTTCTTATAAAGACTGAAAGGTACCCAGTGAATTTGGCAACACAGAAGTCATTGGTGTCACTCAATGACAAGGGTAGTTGGTAACAAAATAGAGATAAAGGGTAGAAAGGACGAAGACAGAAGAGTACAAACAGGTAGTTACATCTTAATCTGTAATTTATTAGAAATGTAGCATTCCTACTCAAAGTATGTGACTCCAATTATTTGAGATTTTGTTTTAATAACAGTTTTCTTTCCATATGCCTTGAGACTATTTGAATGTATGCATTTTATTTTTCTAATTACTATAAGTCTAACAATTTTTAAAGGAGTATTACATATCTATTATAGATATAACTACCGTTTTATAATTATCCATATTTATATACATGTGTATGCCATATTCATATCTTGATAAAATCTGTAATTAACACATTCACCATTTTTATAACTATCAATGAGTAATATCAGTCACATTTTTATGTCTTGGTTTTATATTTTAAAATTTCTTATACTTGTGTGCTTTTTAAAAATACTATTTTTATTATTGATTCAAAGCTTTTTCATAATGTGAAAGTAAACTACCCCAAAAACAAACAATTCTACCTTAATACAAGTGTATTAACAAGTTAAAAGAAAAGCAGCACGACGCACCATCTCTGGACTGGAACTGAAGCAGCTCTCCGTGGGCCTTGGCGAGTAGCTGGAGCACGGACTGCACTGCGAAGAATCGAGACCTGAGGGCAAGGGGGAGCCGCAGGACCGTGCGCACTGATGAGCTGGAGTACACACCGAGCTGGAAATGTGCACTTAGCTAACAAAGCAACAGCACTTAAAAACTGCCAACGTTAGTTAAAATTGGATCCGTGGCCCCTTGCACGTTTCTCTTTTTCTTTTGGCAGAGCGGGGGATTGAACTCAGGGAAGCGCTTATTCCACTGAGCCATCTCCCTGGCCCCATGGCCAGCATTTCTAAGTGATACTGGGATTTATTTTACCTTCACAAGATCTGCATCTAAAGTAAAAAGGAAGGACAAAAGGGGAGAAGAGCAGAACAGGGAAAAACAGCACTGATTCTTCCAACATATGAACCACTTTGATGGACAAATAACTTAAAGCGTCAACCCATAGGAAAGCAGGAAAACCTAGTTTATCAAGTCCCAAGGTTAGATGTTGCTAATCAAGCAAATGAAACTTCATTCTGTAATCAAAGCTGTATGGAAAAAAAAAAAAACCTATTCAAACCATTCAATATTATATCTTTTCATTATATGCCTAACACATTATCTTATGATTTAAAAGTTAAAAATGGAGTGGAAAATGAGTCATGTCCTCTATCATGTTTAAAATCGACAGTATTCATAGTAACCCAGTCATTCCTGTCTCCTTGCTTACAAAAATGACTCCCTATCAAGAAAAAAAAGGCAGGTGCAGAGGCCGGGGGTTCAATCCCCAGGCCTGCCAAGCCTGCCCCGTTCCGGGGCATGCTGAAACAGCAATGGAGACTGGGCGTGGTGGTGTGCACTTGTAATCCCAGCTCTGTAAACAGGTGGATACTATGAGTCCAATCTGGTAATGAGACCCTGAACACCCTACAGATCCTTCCTTGAAATATTAAAAAAAAAAAGAGAGAAAGAAAGAAAAGCAAGAGGCCTGGAGTACAGAACAGCACCTACCAAACCCTGGGCCCTGCCATGTGCAATAAACCCTCAGTACTAGCTGTGCCTTCGGTCGACCAGCTCTCTCCCCACAACAGAGGCAGAAAGAACTCAGCTCAACTCTAAATCTTATTTCGTAATTTTTGGAAGAAATTTATTTCCAGAGAACAGATTCTAACAGCAGAAAACATAACCCAGAAAAGTGAATGGCAAGATTTCACAACTCACAACCTAATCTAAAGACCTTTCCTATAAAAGGTAACTGAGTCTGTAGTTACTATAAACCGAGTCATCAGCAGCAAAGCACGAACATCTTACTTATTACAGGCCGAGACGGACAGGTCGAGGAAAACTCAGGTCAAAGTCACTGAGCAACTACGTAAGGTGTGATGCCAGTTACTGGGGACGTGGGTCCATAAGCCTCAAAGGGTTCCTGATGGAGTGCAGAAAGACTTTTTTTTTCCAGAGTCAGAAAACAAGATATGATAACCGAAGTCACATACAACAGAAAAAAAGTAAGGACCTAAGCACGATGAGCTCTGGCTAAAGGAAAATTTAAAGATTTAAAGTGAAAATGTGAATAAGGAAAAACAGTTTTGAATGATGAATAAACATTTTCCAAGGCAACAAGACAAAAAGTACAGGAGATAGATGGAAAAGAATGTGGAAGGATACACTGAGGTTATTTTTAAAAGTCTCTGTGTCTGGTACTGGTGACTGAATACAGGGATTCTGGATTGAGCTACATCTTCAGAATTTTTAAGACTATTCTTGTTTTGAGACAACATCTTAAGTTGCTAAAGGTACCCAGTATAGGCTCAAATTCTGTGATGTTTCAGACTTTGCTTTCCAGAGTGATGAGACAAAGATGCACACCAGCTTGCCAGGTGGGAAGCTCCACTCAGCAAGGGCTGGACTGCTGAGCAGGGAGGCTGATGGAAGCCAGTCAGTGATCTGTGCGATCCAGGTCTGCTGGATGAGGATCTGTAAGACAGTAGTGATGCTGGGAAGGAAAGGAGGCAAGTGATGGAAATGTTCAAAAACTTTCAACTAGCCTCAATTTAAACAATTAAGGAGATCTGAAATGTTTTTCTGAATCTGATAACATTAACATCAAAATCTGATAAAGATTTTTACAGAAAAGTTACAAATACCCAAAATTTTTACAATAAATAATAGAAAAATTAAGAGACTACCATACTGCATTATGATTTGGTGGGATTTATTACAAGAATGCCTTGATGACCCCAATTATGAAATTTATTAGTCAGATTCACTCTTTTTAAAGGCCTGCATCACATCATCCCTGTTCAAATGGTCACGATTCAACTTCTGCAAAGACAGCAAAATGAAGAGCAACAGGAATCAGTGTCTCTGACATTTGTAAACCAGATGCTGGAATGGCACAATGTGAAGAAGAGGAGGAGGGGGGATGTGGGGTCCTGACCCAGAAACTATCTGAAGTGGGAATTAAAGTCCATGGGGAGAGAGAAGATGGGGCATATGATGCAGATGAGGGAGGTGGTGAGCTTCTTTCTCTGTTAGCACTGCCTGGCAGCACAGCAAGGACAGTATGAACCTGCTGGGTCTTGGTGACTACTGGAAGCCCCGGAGGCCTCCATGGAGAAATGTACCAGTGGAACAGAGGAAAGAGGATGCAGCAGGCTGCAGAGGCCCCCAAGAAAAGGCAACTGGCCAGTAGCCATTTTAGAAGGGGCCAACCCAGCTCAGAATTCAGAGCAGTTGTGGGCTGGCTCCAGGTGAGACTCAGTGGAGGTCAAGCAGGCAGGAGGCCAGGGAGTGGAGTTCAAGCCAGCATGGAGGTGAGTTCAAGCCAGCAAGAGGCACTCCAAGAGCTGTGGGTTAAAACACTTGGTCCCCAGCCTCACAGACAGAAACCAGAAGCAGCCTTAACTTCAATGGAACCAAAGTTCCAAGCTTGCTGGGATTACTCACAAATAAAATTTTACTGCTGGCTTTGTGAGATTAACTAAAACAGATCTGGGCTCTGTCTGGTCCCTCTGTCAACCAGTGATGGGAGAGACATGAACTGACATGGATATATTTTTTTTTCTGCTTTCCTTCCTTTGCCTTTACATATTCATTTTTTCCTACTTTTTTCTTTTTGTTTCTTCTTGTTTTGTACAAGTTAGGTCTTGCAACAGACCCAAAACCCAACTGCCAGCTACATACAGAAGATATCCCTGAGAAGTAGTCATTTGCTAAGTTTTTCTTCTTGATTTGTTCTGTTCTTGTTTCTTCTTCCCCTCTTTCACATCTGTCTTCACCAATCCCCAAAGTTTGTGTAATCTACTTTTCTCCTCTAGGTTTGCTTCCAATCTCTTTTGTTATATTTCTCCATTTTTAACCCTTTTAATTTTCTCCCCAGAGGGTAAAATCACCATACTGAGAGGATATTCACTGTACATAATTCTCTGGTCTGTTTTAGATTTTGTGGTACAACTACAAATCTCATTCATCTGGTTAAGGTGGCAGTTAGTTACTATAATTTATTTTCTAAGCTGCGTTTGATGCTATTCTTCTTAATGATTGTACTACTTTAGCCCAGGTGACAATCAGTTCCAATTGTTCCAATCAGTTGTTCCTTGTATGCCAAGACAGACTGCTTGGAGGGACATAAATACTACTACAGGCCAGTAACAAAGAATTAGGGGCTAGGCAAAAGAGGCAGCAATATCTTATCCCCAGTAAATTAAAGAGGTAGGTTCTCACAGCAGATTCAAAACCTAGCAGTCAGATACATTTGGAAGATACCCCTGAGAATTAGTCATTTGCCAAGGGTTCTTGGTAGTAGCAGTAAGGATACCTACCATAAACAATTTACAAGAATCAACAGTGGAAATAAAAAAATAAAAAACCCACCCTACGAAAGATATGCAAGCAATCTGCAACCCTCCTAACTTCCAGCCCCCAAAAGCAACCCAGGGGATGAGGGGCAACACTTAACAAGCCACCCACCTGCACTCTCTAAAGTGTAACAGTGGAACTCACAAAGCAAATTAATGACACTCTAGAAAAAGAGCAAATCATAATTTCTTAGGTAACTTCAGAGATGATGAACACGATAAAAGGCATGATCAGTGAATCTAGAGAAGATATAGATAAAAAATAGAAGAACTAAAGAAAATGATAGATACTATGAATGTCCAACATATGAAAAAATGGAACCGATGAAACAGATTCAAGAAGGTATCCACGACACTAAAATTTCTATTGAAAGTATATGCAACAGAATGAACTAATGTGAGGACAGATTATAAGATCTAGAAGCTAGGACTGTAGTTAGCAATCAGGAAAAGAAAAATTCCTTAAAATTATTAAGGACCATGAAAAATCAACACCTGCTAAATGATGTAAAGAAAAATAAATTGTTTGGAGTCAATGCAAATGCAGAAGACAGCACAAATGACATAAAAAACATGTTCACAGAACAAGTTTCCTAGCAGGGAAAAAGAATTTAACATGCAGTCAGTAAGGCATATAGAACTGTAATTAGTCATGATTTAAAAAAATCTATCACAAGGTATATAATAGTCAGAATTTCAGAAATTCAATACAAGAATACAATATTAAAAGCTATTAGAGGGGCCGGGGAGATGGTTCAGTGCAATAAGCACCTCCCTGGCAAGTACAATGGCCTGAGTGTTCAATCCCTGGTTCTGGAAAAAAAAAAAAAAAAAAAAAAAAGCTATTAGAAAAAAGAATCACTTATTAAGAAAAAAACCCCATCAGAATTATAGCACATCTCTAAACACAAAACCTGAGGTCAAGAGGAGCTTGTAGTGAAGTATTTTAAGCCCTAATCCATCCCCACTGAGAATGATGTACTTTACAAAATTATCCTTCAAAACTAATGGAAAAATAAGATACTTCTATAATAAAGAACACCTACAGAAAGTTATGATCAGCAAAAGAGCACTCCAAAGACTTTTAAATGGTATTATAGAAAAATGGGCCAGCCAAATAGCTCAGCCAATTAAAGTGCCTGCAAGCAGGAGCAGGAGCTGGGGGTTCGATCACCCGGCCTGCCATGCCAGCCCCATCCCCGGGATGCTCTGAGATGGCAATTAAGACTCGGCACAGTGGTGCATGTCTGTAATCCCAGCTCCTGGGAGGCTCTAAACAGGCGGATCACTATGAGTCAGAATTAGTAGTAAGACCCTGAACACCCTGTAGACCCTTCCCAAAAAATACAACAATAACAACAAAAAAAAGATATTATAGAAAAAGACAACAATTCTAAGAATCCCAATAGGATGACTCCACTACACAATGCAAGAAATTAAATAAAAGACCAGGCATGGTGGCCCACACCTCAGAGCTTGGGAGGCTGAAAATAGGAGGCCCACTAGGAGCCCAACGTGTGTAGTGAGACCCAATATCAAATACATTAAAAAAAATTTTAAATAGGAGGGAAAGAGAATCAACAAAAGGAAAATAACATATGACAAGGACAGAATGGATTAAAAACCATTAAAAAAAAAACCCAACAGGCTATATATAAGATATACATTTAATTGAAGGAGAAACTCATAGACTCAAAGTCAATGGATGGGAAACAATACTCCATGCAATAGGAATAGGGGGAAAAAAAGCAGGAGTGGCTATTCTATTTGCAGACAAAGTGGATTTCAAGCCAACACTGACCAAGAAAGACTAAGATCACTACATCCTTGTAAAGGAAACAAGAGAAAAAGATAATACAATACATATGTACAAAACACTGATGATCCAACTACACTAAACACAAGTAGATATGAAAAATTAGATAAGTGCCAATACTTATGGGCAACATCAATACTATCACAAATCGATCAACTAGACAAATATATCAAAGAAGAAATATCAGAACTGAACCGTATTTTTAAATAAAAAATGGACTTAAAATGTCTACAGTGTTCCACCCCACAACTTCAGAGTACACATTTTCCTTAACATCACACAGGCTATCTCCAAAATAGATGATGTACTAGCTCACAGAACATGCTTAAGGAAATAGAGAGGAATCAAAATTATGCCATGTATATTAACAGATCACAGTGCAAGGAAAATTAGAAACCAATGTTGAAGAAATCACAAGAATGGAATAAACATATGTAAATTAAATAACACCCTCCTGAACAACCAATGAGTTACAGATGAAATTAAAGAAGAAATTAGACAGTTTTTTAAATTAAACAATAAAGTTAATACAACATACAAAGAACTTATGGGTTGCAATGAAAGCTGTTCTATGATGGATATGGCAGATACAACTACAGATAAAGACAGATATACAGAAGACAGATCCCATAAAGAAAAACCAGACTTATTAAAAGAAACACAGACAAAAGACATGATATATTTCACAGATGAAACAATTTAGCCAATTAACTAAATTAATATTCAGAGAAATAGAAATTAAAACTACAATGACATCATCACCAACAATGATAGAAAACTGCGTAGTAGTGATGAAACAATGTGACTAGGAGTGTCCTTTGCTGGTGCAAGGTTAAACAGTCTAAATGTTGTACAAAACAAATTTGCTCATCAAGAAGTACAAATGTGCCTGTCATAGAACTGGTAATTCTTCTACTACACATATTGTGCTAGAGGAACTTCATAAATGTTTGCCACAAGAGGAATCAAGGACAGCAAAGAGAAAACTATTTAAAATAATTAAATACCATTAACAGAGATTAAAAAACAAGGCACATTCCCAAAACTGAATGCTATGTAGCAGTAAATAAATAAAATGTACCATAGGCACAAATATCAAGTGATTAACATCAAAATACAATACTGGATGGAAAAAAGGAAGTTTCAGAAAATACATAAAGTTCCAGGACCAGCGAGACAGCTCAGCAGACTAAGCACCTTGTTAGGCAAGCACAGGGATCTGGGTTCCATCTCTGGCACCACATGCAGTGCTGGCCCCATCTCCAGTAACAATAAGCCAGCGATAGAGTCCAGGCATGCAGTGTGCACCTGTAATCCCAGTGCTGGTAAGGCTGAAAATAGGAGGATCACTATGAGTCAAAGCAGAGTTGGGAGACCCTCCACAAAAAAGCAAAGCAAAAAAGTCTCTTCATCATACAGATGCAAAATCAAGCAGTGGAAAGTTTGTGGGAGATTATATCACACAAATACAAAAATAAAAGCAAATTCAGGATAATAGTTACCTGTAGAGGGCAGGACAGGAAATGGAATTGATATTTTCCCTAAATAACATTTTGTTGCCTTTATAACCTCGTATCAATACATTGTGAAGGATGCTTTAATTTTATTAAGCAACAAACACCAATGAGACAGTTTCAAAACAGGTTAGGACAGTTTCAATAATTAATACATTGCATGTTGTTGTCTTCATAGTGGTTATCCATAGCACAAGATGCAGACATGATATCCTGTCCAAACACTATTAGTGCAAATCTTTCTTCTCATTGAATTAAGAGAAAATAGCTGTATATCTATCCTATGTTGTACATATAGGTACAAAATGGTCCTTTTTTATATCCTCTTTTTTACTTTTGTGAGAGATGGATATTATTGCCATTTAAATATTGTAGGGGCATGAATTCAGCAAAATAATAAAGGCAACAAAATATTACTATTTAGGGAAATACGAGCACTATGTTTTCAGGGCATTATCTAGCAGACTTGTACCCCAAAATGAGGCATACTCTACCCCAGAATGGACAAGAAGCTATTTTCTTTTAAAGAATGAAACAAGAAAGGACAGATGAATAATTTGTAAGTGAAGATTCCCACATTCTGGGTACTCAGGATCACTTTATAGTCTTTAGAATTTACTGGAGATACCATGGAGTTTTTATTTATGTATGTAATTCTATCCATATGAATCACACTAAAAATTAGAACATTACCAAATATGACTTTTTAAAATGTATACTGTGTTAACCTGAAACACCAATAGTCTACCTATCATTAATAAATATATTAATAATATATTTTAATAAAGATATTGTTCAAACAGTCAAAAAAGGTATTTCAAAAGTACAGTGCTTCTATTATTTCTTGAACTATATAGTTGAGGACAGGGATATTTGTTTCATTACTTGTTAAACTATATTTACATTATGTGTATTTATCATTTAAATGTTGTGAAAGATGTAAAGGGATACCTAGAAAATGCTTATTTGCTGGTAAAAAGCTTTATTTTTTATTTATATATTTATTATTATTATTATTACTTTTAATTTTAGAGAAGGGTCTATGGGTGTTCAGGGTCTCACTACTAGATCATACTCGTAGTGATCTGCCTGTTTACAGCCTCCCAAGAGCTGGGATTACAGGTGTGCGCCACCACACCCAGTCTCAATTGCCATCTCAGAGTGCCCTGTGGGGGCAGGGCTGACATGGCTGGCCCAGGGATCAACTCCCCAGCCCCTAAACCTGCTTGCAGGTGCTTTAATCAGCTGAGCTATTTGGCCAGTCCAGTAAAAAGTTTTAAACCCCTTTTAATTTAATTGATTTCTATTTAATTGTTAGTTTTGTAAAGACTAAAATGTACTTATAGTTACCGTTACAGATTTTCTTAGATGTTGGCCTAAATGTTAAAGAATACGTTCCTTCTTCCATCATAATCTAGAAGAAAATAAAAACGTTAACAATTTCCAAGAGTGCATGATAATATCCATTCATAACTTTCTATCAATGTTATTGATTCATTTTATAGTACTTTATGTTACTTTAATTCAACAAAGATGATTTCACACAAAAATAATTAGCCTGAGAACTACAAAATAAAATTTAACTTGGTTTACAAACAGCAAGCAACAGGGCTGAGAGAGCTCAGCAGTCTAAGCACCTGCCTGGCAAGTGCAAAGACGTGAGTTTGATCCCCAATACCGCATGCCATGCAAACCTCAAAACCAGGTGTGGTGGCGCACACCTGTAATCCTAGTGTTGGGGAGGCTGAGACAAGAGGATTACTTGAAGTATCAGCTGCATAGTGAGAGATCCTATATCCAATAAATAAAAAAACAAACAAACCAGCAAGCAATAGTCACTTGCTAAGAAATAAATTACTAAAAAGGCATCAGACAATAATAATAAATGCAGATGAAAAGGGACAAGATCCTAAGCCACTCTGTTCTGTCATTCTTTCAAATTTCTTAAGTCACATAGTTGCTATTTATGTGCTTTTTTAAAAAAGTGGTAAAAGCTTAGCAGCAAAAATTTTCCATAAAACGTAATATTGGTTTTGACTAGAGTGTTTCTTAATTTCCAGGAACATCAAGGAAGTTAAGCACCATATTTTGGTTAACTTCAAGCTTCTTGAATTTTGATTAGAAACTGTAAATACAAACCTCTCCTCTGCTAAATATTTAGATTTGGCCTATTATATGAATTGTACTTGTAAATATATCATGCATTTAAAATAATGCTTTCTATACATCCTCTGTTGCATTGATACAGAGTTAATTTAGACAGACAAGATAAAGGACAAAATGTCTAGCTATTCACCAAGCCTGATTCTTCCTCACTATATGCTAGTCCAATTTCCTGGCCTCCCGGGAGCTAGGCTGGACAAATAGTTTAATTTCTGATTATGGACAGAGATTAATGTACATTACTTCAAAACAGGGCCCACAAAATTTTTTTCACAATTCTCCTCCTCCAAAGAATTTCTTTGCTGAACCTGATTCCTTTTAAGGCTTACCTAAAAGCATTTTTTCTGATTAGCCCTAGCAACTTGCGAGCTGCATATTTTCCAGATACGCATGTAGTATGAAGTTTATTTGTATTTTAAGAGCTCAATCTTGTGAGTTACATAAAGTTTTTAATATTGTTACAACAACAAAAACACAGCCTTTTTATGAGGGCCTTACATTTGCCAGGCAGGTGCTTGTGCCACTGAGCTATATCCCTGGCCCTCCACATTCTTAAATATGTATCTACATTTGGAATAGCATGTTAAGGCAGGTCCAATGGCAGTGGGTTATCAGAACTTATTAGTGTCAAAATAGCATATAAAAACCTAAACCATTTTTAATGTTTTAAGAAATTGCATAGCTCTTAGAGAAAACATTTAAAATATATCTTTGGCCGAAGATACTGCTCAGCAGCACAGTACCTGCCTAGCAAATGCAACGTCCTAAGTTTGATTCCTGGTACAAAAAAAAAAAAAAAAAAAGGTAAAATGTATCTAGATTGGTTTGTCTCAAGGACATTATAGTTTAAAAAATTTTTGGTTTTTTTTTTTTTTAATATAGCTGGTTGTTGCAGGGTCTCACTATGCAGCACAGGGGATCTTCCTGTTTCCAGCCTACCCAGTCCTGGAATTACAGGCATGTGACACTACACCCAATCTCTGGCCAACTCAGCCTACCCTGCAGGTGGGCTGGTGCAGCATGTGGTGCCTGGGATCAAACTATGGTCCCTGTACTTGCCTAAGCTTGCCTAAGCAGATGTTTTAATCCATTGAGCTACCTCACCTAAAAGGTGTTTTTATTTCTACATCTGAGTCATGATTTTACAGGTGTAAGAAAATATGAATAGATAAAAGAATATCCAGAAAATCATTTCAATGCAAGCTAACCTTATGTCAAAATACTGTAAACTATACAAATTAAAATATGATAAAATATGAACCTCATAGGAAAGATAACCTGACAGTGTGCCTTACCTCGCCAAGTCCAAAGTTCCCTGACCGGTTAAGATGCAACTCTTCCATAGGGCTATTACACCTAAGGGTTGTGAGACAGTTATGCTTTATTCTCCTTAAGGCTATTGCTTTAAACTATGATTTTAATACTTGGCTTCAGAAAAGCATACTAAAGCTTTTTAAAAAACAATGATGGATAAACCCCATGCTCAGGAGCTTATTTATTACATATGGGTCAAACTTCGCATTCTATTGGTTTAAAATTACCCTGCTCAAGTAAATGTAGATCTGCAGCAGATTTAGGAAACACATTCTAAAACAATTTCGTAGAGTACATTTTAAAATTCAAGGGCTAACAAATAAGTTTTTCATTTGTGAACTTCTACATACTTGGAAAGCAAAGAACTTAGTATGTTAATTTTATTTAAAAATTGGGAGTCATGGGGCTCAGTAGAATAAGTGCTTCCCTGGCAAGCGCAGGGTCTGAGTTCAAACCCTGGTTCTGAAAAAAAGTTAAAAAATAAAAAATAAAAATTGGGAGTCTACATTTTAATTATATAAAATAGCATATAGATATTTTAAAGATTTCCCTAGGAAACCATATCTAATAATAGTATGTTCTAGTTAATTATTTCCAGTAACAAAGATACTATAAATTGAAGTGCAGTCTACAAGGGTTTCTTCTGGGCACTGCACTCCCTGTGGATAGCATGGCCCTATTACAATAAAGACTGTAAACAAAAGACACAGTTAATTATTACCAAGAGAGAATTTTTTAAAAACTACTAGCTGAGATAAATGTCTCTTTAACTTTGAAGTATTAAATTTTTCTCAATTCTAGTCACAAACCTAATTGGACAAGAACTAAACCATATTTTCTTAAAAAGTCAACACTCACCTAACCAATGAATTTGATTCAGTTATCATCCAATTCTGCTTGTGGCCAGAATCATGTAAAGAATTAAGTTTATGATGGTAGGTCATCATGTAAAAGTCACTAAGAGACAGCCCCAGAACTAAAGAGTAAGTTAAATATCAAGCAACAATAGGTTAAAATCTCATTAAACACATTTTATACACCAGCAGCAAGAAGCTACACCAACATCTGATGAAGTATAATTGTTTTCATATAAAACGTCACAATAATAAAATGGAAAATAGAGTCAGAGGATGCAGGGAGTCTCTGAGAGGAGCCTGTTAGCATGAAGACACAGCTCTGCAACACACACTGGCCCATAAACCGGTGCAGATGTGCGTACTTATGCCACCGATATGACTCTCTTACTCTTCGTTCGGATTTTCTGCCAGCCACACGGTCCTCTCCCAAGACCCTAAAGATGACTTTCTCCTCATGCCAGGAAGCAGCCCTACCTAAACAAGCCCTCTACTTCTTAGTGTAAGTAAACTGACATTCTGGCGGATATATGAACACACAGATCAGTTTCTCAAGTGGAATATTCAGATAAGGTTTTTGGGGACTAGCAAGTGTGAACACTGTATTCTCAGTGAGAGAGATATTGCTGAGACTGTGTATATAGTAAGGCTTCTCTCTGCCCTGGTTGCTCACACTCAGTGACAGTCCTGTGTCACTCTGCACTAGTTCATTCTTCAACATGCTACACTGTCATACAATTCCCAAAGCGTACTAAAAACTTACACAGAGCTCACCGGATCTTCCTGGTTATTTTTCTGTAGCATCTTTTCTTGGTAATCATTCTCACATTTTCCTGTAAAAATAAAACCATTAAGTCAAAAATTTAGCATAGTGTATTTTCACCTTACCATGCCATATACAAAGGGCAAATCACTGGTTCCCAATGTCACCTAATAGAAATTCTATTTTTGATTTCACTCTCCATACATAAAAACTACACAGTCCTCCTTTAGCAACTATGGGGGACTAGGACCTCCTTTAACCACTTCTACAGATCAAAATCCATGCATGCTCAAATATCTTGCTTACAATGACTTAGTATCTGCCATGTGACCTACTCATATCTTCCTGTGTGGTTTGTATACACTCTCTATCACATATATAGCACAAGGTAAATGCTATACAAGTAGCTACTATTCTATATTGGTTGAGGAACAATGGCAAGAAGAAAGACCACACATATTCAATATTCAATGCTTTTAAATTATTTCAATAGTATATGGTTAGCTTGATCTGCTGATTGGGAACCTGTGGCTATGGAGAGCCAAATGTTTGTGTAAGTATATACATACACATAAAATATATAAACTAAAGCTAAAAACAAGACATATACTATTACATTTTCAAAGTATATCAATCTTGTTTTTCATAACTAGTTGGGTAACAATCCTCAGAAAAAAATGCAGAGATTATATATTTCCTTACTGTTGTGCTCCTTCTGATAGTTCTTGATTGGCTGTAAGTTTTCTGGACAACTTGTTTCATTACAAGCAGAATCACTGAAAGCTGACTGTGGACCTGTAAAAATACTCCTACCACATCCATTGGTGGAAGGATTTTCATCAGAATTAGTGACTACACAAGCATTTCCTAAACTAGCATAATCACGCTTCTTAAAAGTTTCCTGCCTCATTTGATCTATACTTAATAAATTGATCATGTTTTGACCAACAAAAGAGTCACAATTCTCTGATAGAATACTATGAGTTGGCTGGTTCACATCTTCAAGAAAATTTGAAATTTCTTTTCCATTTTCTCCCCAAATACGTTGTGCTGCTTGATTTGCAAAAATTAGGTCAGACTGCCTTTCATTCATGCTTTTCCAATCTTCATCCAAAGCTATATCAGGTCTTGTAGTAAGTGTATTTCCATTTCCTGGACTTTGGAATAAATAAAAACATTAATTTCCAAGGAAAGTACAATTCATGTCATTTATAAAAACCAACTTTAGATCTTGAGAAAGCAACAGGTAACTAGTAACATTTATTTAATTTTTAAATATTTAATTAAATAATATTGTTTTAGGTGGAAACATACTTAATGTGCTCTTCTATAAATCTGCTGAAAATAAAATTTATATGCTGCCCTATACTTCAACATGAAAGAAGAACACATAACTCAATTTCTTGTTATATTAGAAAAAGGAATATAGACATAATACTGTGTTCTCTGCTATATACAGCAAATAATCTAGATAGCCACTGTGTGTCACTGCAGCAAATAACCTAGATAGCCACTGTGTGTCACTGCAGCAAATAACCTAGATAGCCACTGTGTGTCACTGCTGCTGCTGTCTGTCACTGTAACCAGTGAAAGACATTCTGAAAGCGGTGGGCATGATAACTTGTACAATACCATCAAATCAGTTACTACATTGCAACAGATATTTCTCAGCCTAACAGGAGACAAAAACAGCTATAAGTTTTACAAAGAAGATAAATATGGATACAAACGGGTACATAAGTAATAAAGTCAAGAAATAAGATTAGATGAGAATCAGGTAAATTAGATAACTTGTAAATTCATTTCTAATGCAGAAATTATAATTCTAGATATGATAATGATGGCTCAACTTGTGTTAAGAATCAAAGTTATGACAAAATAACTAGAGGCAGAGATTTGTTTTTAATTTTACTGCAAGAGCCTACAAATTTATTTGTGATTGCATTATTTTGTAGTTTGGAGGTACCAATGACATTTTAGAAAAACACACTGGTATTGCTAAGACTCTGATTTCCAATTTCAGTTTTTAAATTATGTATTAAATATTTAACAGGAGCAACTGTAGTTCTGGTATGAAGCCATCTATTCAAGATAAAGATATAAAACAACTTAGTTTGGTGCTTGCTGATAAGCTTGTGTTCATACATTGTGTCTCATTAAGGGTCTTACTGCTGTTTGTATACAATAAAATGCTAGTTTGTCATACTAAAAACAAAACTTAGAGTAACAATGCACACTATTAATAACAGAGGAATGACTACTACTCTGAGAATGTGAAACATTTCATAAGTTACAAAACATTTTATAGATGTAGATCACTTTTTTCAAGGTTTTTTAAGCACCCTAACACAAAACAACCAATCACTAATAGATCTGAAAAGAGATCTATGTAATCTATAATTACAAGCAACAAATGTACAATATAAAAAGCAAAAAAAAAATCAAAATAATAAATGTTATCCCACAGTCAAATACTGTAACAGTAACCAGAACAGATAGTTTTGCTTAAAAAAAATCATTTATGTGACATCTCATTTGGGAACTGACTGTTTTTACTTCTAAAGATGACAGAAAAATTATGAAAAGAACCTAAAGAGATTTTCAGGAAGATGCTAGAGAGCAGTAAGAAGCTACATATCAACCTCTTCAAGACTCCAAATCCAGACACCAAAAAAAAAAAAAAAACAATAACCTAAAGAAGAAAAGGAGAGAAGTGGTGTCTAGGGACCCAAGAAGGATCTGATGGGAAAATTGCACATTGCAGAAAAATTGAAAAAACAGAATGCAACACAGAAAAGAGATGGCACCACCTCCACATTAACCCAGGTTTCTGGCTCAGAAACCCAAAAAAGGAGGCTGATTCTAAAAGAAATACAGAGACAGTAGGTACTGTTATAATTTCAGACAAAACCAAGCCAATACTGATCAGAAGACAAAGCCACAACATACTAGTTAAAGGGAACAGTTCAACAGGAATTATGTACACACCAAATACCAACGCAACCAACTCCATGAAACAAACACTGATGAACATGATAAACTGTGTGATCACCACTGTATTTTTTTTTTTTTTTTTTTTTTGCAGTACCAGGGTTTGAACTCAGGGTTTGCCAGGCAAGTGCTTATTCTACTGAGCTATCTCCCTGGCAACACCATTATAATTTTAATGAGGACTCTCAATACCACACTGATAAACGGACAGATCAAACAGACAAAAAAATCATGAAAGAAATATTGGAGCAGAGCCAAACTTAAACAAATGGACCTAAAAATCATGAGAGTACACAATTTTCTCAGCAGCACATGGGACTTTCTTCACAACAGACCATTAGACCATACAGCATGCTTAAGCAAATGCAAAAGAACTGAAATTATCCAATGCATATTATCAGACTATAATGCAGTGAGAGTAGAAATCAATAGAAAAAGACATCACAGAAGATATGCAAACATAGAAATTTAATAATACCTTCTTAATGATCATTAGATCACATAGGAAATTAAAGAAGAAATTAGACAGTTTCTGCAAACAATAATGCCAGTATGGAATAGCAGAACCTATGACACACAATGAAAGCAGTTGTAAGACAGAAGTTTATAGCAGTGAATTCCCACATTAGACAAACAGAACATAGTCAAAGAAACAACCCTATCATGCACTTCAAGATCCTACAAAAGCAAGAACAACTAAAATCTAAAACTAGTGCAGAGAGAGGTAATTGTAAAAAGCAGAGCAAAAATCAACATAATTGAATCAATGTAATGTAAAGAAAATAAAAAGAACCAATGAATTGGAGAGCTGATTCTTTTAAACAAATCTCCAACTCAAATCCAGGGAATCAGAAATCAAAAGGGCTAAATCACAATGGATTCTGCCCAAATCCAGAATGGATTATTGGAAACTACTTTGTACTCCAGTAAATAGGTAACTCAGAAGAAATGGTTAAAGTCACAGATTCATATAAACTACCAAATCTGAATCAAGAAGATATTAAAACATTTTAAAGCCAGTATCAGTCAATGAAGTGGAAGAAGTCCTACAATAAAACCACCAAGAAAAGCCCAGGTCACAACAGACTCACTGCCAAATTCTACAAGAACTTCAGAGAAAATCTAACACCAATACTCCAAATTCTTTAATGAAATGGAAAGAGAATCATTATTTCCAAAGTCACTACTGGAAGCAAGCATTACTCAGATTCCAAAACCAGAAAAGGACCCAGTCAAAAAAAGAAAACTAGAGATTAGGCATGGTGGTGCGCACCTGTAATCCCAGTGCTGGGGAGGCTAAAACAGGAGAATCACTATGAGTCCGATCTACATAGTGAGACCTGTACACCCTGTAGACTTTGTTCTAAATTTATTTTTTAAAAAATGATAGAACTAAAGAGCAATCTCTTTAATGCTCATAGATGCAAAAATCCTTAATTACAGCAAACAATATAGCAAAACATCAGAAAGATCATTCGTCATGACCAAGTAGAGTTCATTTTAGAGATGCATGGATAGTTTAACATAAAAATCTATACATGTAATTCATCACATAAACAGAAGCAAGAACAAAAACCATATGATCATCTCAAGAGACAAAAAAAAAAGCTTTTCACAAAATTCAAAATCCATTCTTAATTTTAAAAGAGATCAACTAATCTGATAAAAGCCATCTATGACAAATCATTGGCCACCATCATACTTAGCAGAAAAATGCTGAAAGCTTTCTCTCTAAAATCATGAACAGGACAAGGATGGCCACTATCAGAAATTTTGATCAACATAGTTCTCAAAATGCAAGCTAAGGGAAATAGCCAAGAGAAAGAAAAGAGATATGGAACTACATTATCTGCGGATACGATCTTTCATAGAGAAGACCCTTAAAACTCTACCAAAAGACTCCTACATCTAATGACAAAATTCACTTGTGTAGCAAGATAATAAAGTTGACACTGAAAAATCAATAGTGCTCCTATGTATACAAGTAGCTGAGAGGGAAATGAGAGAAACAATAACTTCCACAATAGCATCAAGAAAAATGAAATACATAGGAATTAACCTAATCAAGAAAGTCAAAGATTGCAACAACAAAAACTGTAATATTCTGAAAAAGGAGATTAGACTGGATACCAGTCCCTGTTTCCTGGATAGGCAGAACCAATATAGGCAAAAGGGTCATACTTCCAAAACTGTTACATAGATTTAAGTAATCCCATTCAAAATACCAATAACATTCTTACAGAACTAGAGAAAACAATCCTAACTTTCATATAGAACCTGAAGAGACCTAGAAAAGCAAGAACAATTCTAGAAACAAGGGCAAGGAAGAACTCTTCACAATCCCAGACCTCAAATTACACTACAAAGCTAGTCACAAAAACAGCATAACAAAGGCAAATACAACCAGACTTGTGGATCAATAGAGAAGATACAGAAACAACTCCAGGCATACTCAGCTATGCAGTTATGCAGTCTTGGACAAAGGAGGCAGATCTCTTCACTAGAGGAAAGACAGCCTCTTTACCAAATGATGCTAAGAAAACTAGCCATCCACAAGCCAAAGGTTGACCTTAGATCCACCTCACCTCATGTACTGAACTAAAATCAAAATGGGTCACAGGTCTCAACAGAAACCATTAACTTGCAAGATAATATAGGTAAATCTCTCAAAGGTATGGGTGTTGGCTAAACTTTCTGAATGTTGCATAAGAAATAATACCAAGAATCAGAAAATGGGATCAAATTAAATTACACAGCTTTTGCACATCAAAGGAAATCACCAAGAGAAAAGATTTAAAAATTTACCAGCTGTTCCTCAAAGGACTAATATCTAGAATATATAAGGAACTCAAAAAAACATAGATTGCACAAATTTAAAGACCTAAATGAAAAATGGACATATGAAATAAATAAACACTTCACAGATCAAGTATAAAAAGCCAAAAAACACATGAAAAAAAATGCCCAACAATGCTGGCCACTGGAGAATGCAAATTAAAAAAACACTGAGATTCCATCTCATCCCAGAAAGAACGACTACCATCAAAAAGTCAATCAGTAACAAATGCTGGCGAGGCTGTGAGGATGAAGGAACTCTTCTTCACTGTTGTTGAGAGAATAAACTTATACCCCCCACTATATAAATCTACAAGATAAAAATTCCATT